ATCTGCCTGGGGTTGGGGGGCACACCTCATCAACAAGGGTACCTGCACAATGAATATTTGGATGCCTCACCCTGAATTGTACCCCAAAATTTTAAAATAAAAATTAAAAGAGGAGAAAAAAAAAGAAACAACAAAAAAGAAAAATTACTTGTCATTTAGAATTCTATACTAAGCCAAACTAACAACCAATTGTGAAACTATAATAAAATCATTTTCAAACCTAAAGAGTTTCAAAAATATATATATTCTATGCACCCTTTCTCGAAAAGCTGACAGAGGATAAATGAGGAATAAACTAAAAAGAGTAAGACATTTGGTCAAGGAAATAAGAAACCCAAAATAGGAAAGAGGTCAAAGGAATTGCAGATTGATGAATTGGTAAAATAGATGAAATTAATGGAACAACTAATATGTTTTAACAAATTGAGAGGGTACTTAACTCTGGGCTAAAGGATGGGGTTAAATTAATGAATATTAGATAAGAAACCAAGTAGATTTTTTTTAAAAAGAATTATTATTAAATCTGTTTATTTAAGGTGTAAACAAACTTATTAAAAAGAATATTTTGATTTTGGTATTTGATGTTCTTATTTCCCCTTTGTTTATGAGGAACCTTATGTGAACTGCCTTGCCTTACCCACAGTTTTAAGAGGAAGTGCAGCAAACTGGAAATAAATGCAAAATTACAGAAGCAAAACTGGGATCTGTAAGTCAGTAATATATGGTAAAACTATTTTAAAATCATCTTTCAAAATACTTTGTGGTACTAAAAACAAGCTGTGTACAGAATTATCTATATAAAATTCTTTGAAATACAAGATAGAGCTTTGAAAAAACCTTTCTACTCTATAATTCTCTAAGTGTATACTGGCATACCAGAAAAAGATTAGAGTTAGAAAGCAAATACAGGCTGGGCATGGTGGCTCACACATCTAATTCCAGCACTTTGCAAGGTTGAGGCAGGAACATTGCTTGAGCCCAGTAGTTCAAGACCAGCCTAGGCAACATAGTGAGACCTCGTCTCTACAAAAAAAAATTAAATTAGCTAGGCAAGGTAGTGCACACCTTTAGTCTTAGCTACTCCAGAGGCAGAAGTAAAAGGATCACTTGAGCCCAGGAGGTTGAAGCTGCAGTGAGCCATGACTGTACCACTGCACTCCAGCCTCGATGACAGACTAAGACCCTGACTCCAAAAAACAAACAAACAAAAAAGCAAATATATACATATGTAT